ATCCATCACACAGGATGGTTCACCTGTCACCATCCATCACACAGGATGGTTTACCTGTCACCATCCATCACACAGGATGGTTCACATGTCACCATCCATCACACAGGATGGTTCACCTGTCACCATCCATCACACAGGATGGTTTACCTGTCACCATCCATCACACAGGATGGTTCACATGTCACCATCCATCACACAGGATGGTTCACACCTGTCACCATCCATCACACAGGATGGTTCACCTGTCACCATCCATCACACAGGATGGTTTACCTGTCACCATCCATCACACAGGATGGTTCACATGTCACCATCCATCACACAGGATGGTTTACCTGTCACCATCCATCACACAGGATGGTTTACCTGTCACCATCCATCACACAGGATGGTTTACCTGTCACCATCCATCACACAGGATGGTTTACCTGTCACCATCCATCACACAGGATGGTTTACCTGTCACCATCCATCACACAGGATGGTTCACCTGTCACCATCCATCACACAGGATGGTTCACCTGTCACCATCCATCACACAGGATGGTTCACCTGTCACCATCCATCACACAGATGGTTTTACCTGTCACCATCCATCACACAGGATGGTTTACCTGTCACCATCCATCACACAGGATGGTTCACCTGTCACCATCCATCACACAGGATGGTTCACCTGTCACCATCCATCACACAGGATGGTTTACCTGTCACCATCCATCACACAGGATGGTTTACCTGTCACCATCCATCACACAGGATGGTTCACCTGTCACCATCCATCACACAGGATGGTTTACCTGTCACCATCCATCATACAGGATGGTTCACCTGTCACCATCCATCACACAGGATGTTTACCTGTCACCATCCATCACACAGGATGGTTCACACCTGTCACCATCCATCACACAGGATGGTTCACCTTGTCACCATCCACACACAGGATGGTTCACCTGTCACCATCCATCACACAGGATGGTTTACCTGTCACCATCCATCACACAGATGGTTTACCTTCACCATCCATCACACAGGATGGTCACCTGTCACCATCCATCACACAGGATGGTTCACCTGTCACCATCCATCACACAGGATGGTTACACCTGTCACCATCCATCACACAGGATGGTTTAACCTGTCACCATCCATCACACAGGATGGTTCACCTGTCACCATCCATCACACAGGATGGTTTACCTGTCACCATCCATCATACAGGATGGTTCACCTGTCACCATCCATCACACAGGATGGTTACCTGTCACCATCCATCACACAGATGGTTTACCTGTCACCGATCCATCACACAGGATGGTTCACCTGTCACCATCCATCACACAGGATGGTTCACCTGTCACCATCCATCACACAGGATGGTTCACCTGTCACCATCCATCACACAGGATGGTTCACCTGTCACCATCCATCACACAGGATGGTTTACCTGTCACCATCCATCACACAGGATGGTTTACCTGTCACCATCCATCACACAGGATGGTTTATTCGCTCATCCAACTGTTACTAGCCTTAGCTCACACAGTAAGGGGCCGGGGTTCGATCCCCGGACGAGGGGCGGGATTCTGTATGTTCCCTCACACCTGTTCACATAGGAGGAAGTAGGTACTTGTGGTGTTAGACGCCTGGCGTGGGTAAGTAAGATCATTTAGGTACAGGTACACATCAATAGTTACATTAATTATCATACATAACAACATATGTGTAGATTACCTAGGATAACCCCCCCCCCACAAAAAATAAAATGTGTCAATTATAACTGACAGATGTTAGCCTAAATGAGCCTAAAATAATCCAGTAGTCAAACACTGTAACGGTATTTAGGTTGTGGGTCTTTGATAATTATCAATGTATTTATTTACGATTATTTATTAGTACGCTGGGCAAAATTATATTTCGTACATAGCGAGGCTTGGTCATGGACTTGGCCTCGGGGGGCGCTGACCCCCAGCACACCCTCCAGGTACGGTAATTATGGATATCCGGTCCTAGTGTGAGTAAAGTGATAATTTATTGGTAACATTGTGTAATATACGATTAGCTTTCTCGTGAAATAACGTAACGTAAATTAGCGACCTAACTTAACCTTACTCCGCCATTGGTAGATATGGGGCTGGCACACCTTTGTTACACTTAATTCATCTTTATCTTCACCGTGATTGGTCAGGCGCCTCAAAACTAACCATGACTATCTCTATTTTTTTTTTTTACAAGAAATAACAATGTGTCAGGGTAAGATTATTTACGTACAGTTTTACACGATTTTGGATATATACAGTTCTGTTACATAATAACATATGTATATGTTAGGATACCTGATCAGCCGGGCTGTGGCTCGTACGTTGGATTGCGTGCAGCCAGCAGTAACAGCCTGGTTGATCAGGCTCTGATCCACCAGGAGACCTGGTCACAGACCGGGCCGCGGGGGCGTTGACCCCCGAAACTCTCCAGGTAAACTCCAGGTAACCCCCCAAAATTAAGTGACATTTCATTGGTGTCCTTATTTCCAGCGGTGTCCTTGATTTTCATTAATGCTCTTTATTCCATTTAGGGTCACATTTAAAATTATGTCCTTGATTTCAATTGGTGGCCATGATTTCGTTTGATTTTCATTGGTGCTTTATTTCATTGGGGACTTGATTTCCATTGGTGTTTTCGGTTTCCATTGGTGTCCTTGACTTTCACTGGTGTCCTTTGATTTCCACAAGTATCCTTTACTTCCACGGGTGTCGTTATTTTTATTGGTTTCCCTGACTCCAAAAATAACGGGATAAACACACTAGCCAACACAGACGGGTTTACCTGGAGAGGGTTTCGGGGGTCAACGCTCCCGCGACCCGGTCTGAGACAAGGCCTCAAGGTGGATCAGGGTCTGATCAACCAGGCTGTTACTGCTTGCCGCATGCAAACTGACGTACGAACCACAACCCGGTTGGTCAGGTACTGACTTTAGGTGCCTGTCCAGTGCTTTCTTGAAGGCAGCCAGGGGTCTATTGGTAATCCCCCTTATGTATGCTGGGAGGCAGTTAAACAGTCTTGGGCCCCGGACACTTGTGTTGTCTCTCAGTGTACTCGTGGCGCCCCTGCTTTTCATCGGGGGAATATTACATCTCCTTCCGAGTCTTTTGCTTTCATAGGGAGTGATTTTCGTGTGCAGGTTTGGTACCAATCTTGCCAGGACGTTCCAAGTGTATATTATCATGTATCTCCCTCGCCTGCGTTCCAGGGAATACAGATCAAAGACCTTCAACCGTTCCCAGTAGTTTAGGTGCCTTATCGTACTTATGTGTGCCATGAAAGTTATTTGTAAACTCTCCAGGTCTGCAATGTAGCCAGCCTTGAAGGGGGCTGTTAGTGTACAGCAGTATTCCAGCCTAGAGAGCACAAGCGATTTGAAGATAATCATCATGTGCTTGGCGTCCCTAGTTTTGAAGGTTCTCATTATCCATCCTATCATTTTCCTAGCAGATGAGGTAGATACATTGTCGTGGTCTTTGAAGGCGAGATCCTCTGACATTATCACTCCCAGGTCCTTCACATTACTTTTCCGCTCTATTGTATGGTTAGAATTTGTCATATACCCTGATACTTTTTAATTTCCTCAAGTTTCCCATATCTGAGTAGTTGAAATTAATCCTCGTTGAACTTCATATTGTTTTGAGTGACCCATTCGAAGATTTGGTTGATGTCCGCCTAGAGTCTCTCAGTGTCTTCAATGGAGGTCACTGCCATGGTAATCCGGGTGTCATCCGCAAAGGAAGACACGGAGCTATGGCTTACATATGTCAGAAATGAGGATGAGGAATAGAATGGGAGCGAGTACTGTGCCATGTGGAACAGCTTTCACCGTGGCTGCCTGGGACTTGACTCTGTTTACTATTACACTTTCTGTTCTATTTGTCAGGAAGTTATAGATCCAGCTACCAACTTTTCCTGTTATTCCTTTATCACTCAGTTTGTGTGCTGTTATACCATGGTCACACTTGTCGAAAGCTTTTGAAAAGTCTGTGTATACTACATGTATTTTGTTTATCCTCAACAGCATCCAGGACCTTGTCATAGTGGTCCAGTAGCTGGGACAGGCAGGAGTGACCTGTTCTAAACCCGCGTTGCCCTGGGTTGTGTAACTGATGGGTATGTAGGTGGTTGGCCCTCAGGCTGAGGGACTGATTACCTCAATTATTATTATTATAATCAAGGGGGAAGGGCTAAACCTGGAGGATTATACAGCGCCTTGGGGGGGGGGGATGTGGAAGGCATTCAGGCTTAATTCGGGGAACTGGAGCACAGATCCAATTCCCTAAATCAAGAGCCCCTCACCAACATCAAGGAACCTTCCTTGAGGGGTGATTACCTCAAACTCCTCATCTTTCACCTTTCTCTGCACTGGACTGAAGAAGCCACTGCCAGGCGAAACGTTTCCAGGATAAAGATACCCAGATATTACACAAGTGTCTCATTTACCAACACAGATGGGTGTTAATGATGCTTCTCTAACTAACTACCAACGAGGTAATAATATAGATTTATTTATTTTAGTGAAGTATTCCTGGTGTGGGAAGGCCACAAGCCGCATTTTACCACACTAATGTTACTCTGCTTTCTTTGTCTTTCCCTTGTAATCATGGCATAAAGCCGTCGGATGAGGCAAGATAACGAGTCTACAGCCGTCTGTGGTATTATTTGCTACTGTAACGGGCATAAAAAAAATGTTTGAACGTAGATAAAATAAAAGTGTTGGGTAAAATAATGTTGTCAGGCACCTTGTGTTGTCATCTGTGTACAATGTCCGGACTCTTGGTTCATCTCCGGCTTCGTTTTTATTAACCTCTATTATCCTCTATGTCGTGTTAGTTCTTCTCATTGCTTGCTTCTTGCGGTTAATTACTGCTTAGAATAGTGCTGCTGTTAACTGATGACATTGTAGATTAATAGGGTAAATGGCTAACTTCCTGGACGAAGGTTTGTGCGATGTGATTCGCATGAAGTGGTTGTGTGGCAGTCAAGATGATACGGAGAGGCAGTGGCCGGACACCCCCATTTATTTTGGTGGGTCTCGTCTTAATTGTACTTATCTTGGGATTTAATTACTGGACACTCTCTTCTCAAAATGCCGACTTACAGCAGGAGGTGGAAAAATTACAAGCAGAGTTGAAGATTAGGTAAGACGAGACCAGTTTGCCCTTGGTATGTAAAATTACTCTGCTCTCTCTCTTGTACTCAATATAACCTGCCTTATTCCACTTTAGATCATTATTTAGTCAAGCTACACAGGTAATTACTGTACATATAAGAAAGTCATTACAAACAACGGCTGTAATGGACGAATGCTGCTCTGCAGGTCTCGGCCCTTAATTATAATTTAAATTGTACAATATTAGGCTAGTTTTGCAGTGAAGATATTATTTTGTTGTGCAAATGGTAAAAAAGTAGCATAACCTAAAGAAATACAACCATAAATAACCTAACTTAACCTTACCCCCACCATCTTTTGACATCCATCATCGTACACACAGTCAGTTGTACTTATGTGTAAAGGTACACATAAGTATAATTTTCATACGAAGTGTAAATTACCTATGATAACCCCCAAAAAAGTCAGTGACTTATTTCCATTGGGGTCTCAATAACCTGTGGCCTCCACTCCAAAACGACAGATATTAGTGCCAGGAAAAAAAGAGCCCCCCATACCACCAATCCGACGACATTTATCTTTGCAAATATACAACCAGCAACGAACAACAAAATACCTTTCATCTGTGCACTGCTTACAGAGTCAAATGCAATGTTTGTGGTTTTCACAGAGACCCATATAAAGGATCACTTGAACTATGAACTATGGATCCCGGGTTACAACTTATACAGATGTGACAGAGTGAACAGGCAAAAGGAGGTTGGCCTGTATATCACTGAGTCACTTATAGTAAGTAAGTAAGTAAGTTTATTCAGGTATACACAAATACAGTTACATAGAATTATCATACATAGCAGCATATGTGTAGAGAACCTAGGATAACCCAAAAAAGTCAGACAGAGTGACTTATTTCCATTGGGGTCCTTTGACTTATTTCCATTGGGGTCAAAGCTACTAAATGCATGATGTAGTTGAAGTTTTAGCACTAAAGATCGAGAACCAAAACCTGGTCATTGTGGTTGTATACAAGCTTCCTGATGCAACGTCCCAACAATTCCAGGAACAGCTTTTCAAAATTGACCACTGTCTGGAAAATCTTCCAGCTCCTGCCCCCAACATCTTGCTCATGGGGGATTTCAACCTAAGGCACCGAAAATGGAGGAATATAGCAAATAATGTTGTAGCAGAGATAACACCAGGAGGCAGCTCAGATGAAAACTCGCACACACATGAACTTTTAAATACGTATCTGCACCAAATTCTCCTTAAACCAGCAAATAATAGAGCCTACATGATTGGAGAATACGCTAGACCTCATCTTCACTAACAATGATGATCTGATACGAAATGTCATCATATCAAAAACAATATACTCAGATTGCAACATAATAAAGGTCCAGACATGTATGTGGGGGGCCCCAGACTGACAAAAAGTGATCAGTCACCAGGGACCCTTCATCAACAAAAACGTCCTAAACGATATAAACTGGGAAGATAGCCTAAGCAACATGGATCCTAACCTATGCTAGAACAAATTAACTTTGTGGCACTTGAGGTATGCTCAAGGCATATACCCTTAAGGAAAAGGAGGAGAAGATGTAAACTAGAAAGCGAAAGGCACTCCCTATACAAGCAAAGGCAAAGAATAACATAGCGGCTACAAGAGACCAATATATTTGCAATATGTAGGGAGACACTGGTCAGAGAAATAGCAAACATCAAACTAAAGCTAAAGGAATCTTACAGGAGTCAAGAAACATGGGAAGAACTAAAAGCCATAAATGAAATTGAAAGAAACACAAAGTATTTCTTTTCTTATGCCAAATCAAAGTCGAGAATAACATCCAGTATTGGGTCTTACACAGATGGTAGCAAGGAAATTAGTGAGCTATTCAAGTCCCAATATGACTCGGTTTTTAGAGAGCCGCTTACCAGACTGAGAGCCGAAGACCTCAATGAATTTTTAATAAGAGAGACAGAATTTGGTAGGCACACACCTCTCTGATATCCTGATGCCAAATGACTTCGAAAAGGCAATAAATGATATGGCCCATGCACCCTGCCCCAGGCCCAGACTCATGGAGCTCCGTGTTCATCAAGTACTGCAAGAAATCCCTATCACGTGCTCTTAACATCCTATGGAGGGGGAGCATGGACACTGGGGTTGTCCCATAATTATTAAAAACAACAGACATAGCCCCACACCACAAAGGGGGCAGTAAAGCAATAGCAAACAGCTACAGACCAATAATGCTAACGTCTCGTATAAAAATCTTTGAAAGGGTTCTAAGAAGGAAGATCACCACCCATCTAGATGCCCATCAGTTACACAACCCAGGGAAGCATGGGTTTAGAACAGGACGCTCCTGTCTGTCCCAACTACTGGGCCACTATGACAAGGTCCTGGATGCTCTAGAAGACAAACAGAATGCAGATGTAATATACACAGACTTTGCAAAAGCCTTTGACAAGTGTGACCATGGTGTAATAGTGCACAAAATATGTGATAACGGAATAACAGGAAAAGTTGGTAGATGGATCTATAATTTCCTAACAAATAGAACACGAGTAGTAGTAGTCAACAGAGTAAAGTCTGAGGCGGCTACGGTGAAAAGCTCAGTACTCGCTACCATCTTGTTCCTCATCCTCATATCAGACATAGACAGGGATATAAGCCACAGCACTGTGTCTTCCTTTGCAGATGACACCCGAATTTGCATGACAGTGTCCTCCATTGAAGACACTGCAAAACTTCAGGTGGACATCAACCAAATCTTTAAATGGGCTGCAGAAAACAATATGAAGTTCAATGATGAGAAATTTCAACTCCGATATGGAAAATGTGAGGAAATTAAAACTTATCAGAGTATAAAACAAATTCCAACCACACAATAGAGTGAAAAACTAATGTCAAAGACCTGGGTTTGACCATGTCAGAGGATCTCACCTTCAAGGACCATAACAGTGTATCAATCGCATTTACTAGAAAAATGACAGGATAGATAATGAGAACTTTCTAAACCAGGGATGCCAAGCCCATGATGACACTCTTCAGGTCACTTGTTCTATCTAAGCTGGAATATTGCTGCACACCAACAGCACCTTTCAAGGCAGGTGAAATTGCTGACCTAGAAAATGTAGAGAACCTTCACTGCACGCATAACTGTGATAAAGCACCTCAGTTACTGGGAACGCTTGAAGTTCCTAAAACCTGTACTCCCTAGAATGCAGGCAGGAGAGATACACGATTATATACACTTGGAAAATCCTAGAGGGATTAGTACCAAACCTGCACATGAAAATCACTTCCTACGAAGGCAAAAGACGGCAGACGATGCAACATCCCCCCAATAAAAAGCAGGGGTGCCACTAGCACGATAAAGAGACAACACAATAAGTGTGAGGGACCCAAGACTGTTCAACTGCCTCCCAGCATATATAAGGGGGATTATCAATAGACCCTTGGCAGTCTTCAAGCAGGCACTGGACAGACACCTAAAGTCAGTACCTGACCAGCCAGGCTGTGGATCGTATGTTGGACTGCGTGCGGCTAGCAGTAACAGCCTGGATGATCAGGCCCTGGTCCACCATGGGGCCTGGTCACGGACTGGGCCGCTGGGGCATTGACCCCTGGAACTCTCTCCAGGTATAGTACAAAATGGGTACTTGAGTGTTAGTCAGACTGGTGTGGGTTGCATCCCCGGACAAAATTGACCTAATTTGCCTGAAATGCAGACATCAACCATGATCTTCAAATGGGCCACTCAAAACAATATGAAGTTCAATGAAGAGAAATTTCAGATATGGAAAACTTGAAGAAATTAAAACTGTGCCAGAAAAAGAGCAAAAAAGTTATGTGAAGGACCTGGGAAGGATAATGTCAGAGGTTCTCGCCTTCAAAGACCACAACAATGTATCTACCATATCTGCTAGGAAAATGATAGAATGGGAACCTTCAGAACTAAGAACGCCAAGCCCATGATGATTCTCTTCAAATCGCTTGTTCTCTCTAGGCTGGAATACTGCTGTACACTAACTGCCCCCTTCAAGGCAGGCGAAATTGCTGACCTGGAGAGTGTACAAAGAACTTTCATGGCACACACAAGTACGATAAGGCACCTAAATTACTATGCTCTTTTCTGTCATGTCAGAGATCACAGTCATCCTATTGACTGGTCTTCTGCTAAAACTGCCTACCCTATCGCCATCTGGTTGAATCCTTCCTTATACACAACTTTCCTTGTATGAATCTTAGTCCTGGCTTTGTCTCTGTAGATGCCTTCCTTTCCCATTACATTGTAAAATGCTCCAAACTTCAGAACACCTGTGAATTAACCTGATGCTTTTTTCCCCCTTCTCCCTCTTCTCCTTTCCTCTTTCTCCTTTGGGTTTTCTTTCTTCTGACCTGGGTATTTGGTCCATTACTATTATTTCACCCCCATCCCTCTGTATTCTTGTTCCTACCATTTGTGGGCACCTAGTTCCCTTGCAGTGCTCCTCTCTCTTAGTCTTTGACTCTGCTACTACTACTACCTCTACCACCACTTTTCTTCCTTTCCTACAACCTCTCTCCCCATCCCTGTCTGCTGGCCTGTATATACTCCCTCCTTTTCTCCTTTTTGTTAGTGTGACTTTGTAAATGGTCCAAGTGAGACCAAAATGTCGTCATAAGCTCCACTCTCCTATGTGTGGGCTATTTGTGTATTGTTCCCTGGAGTGCAGGTGTGAGAGATAGGTGATAATATACACATGGGAAAATCCTAGAGGGATTAGTACTAAACTTGCAAACAAAAATCACTCCCTATGAAAGCAAAAGACTCAGCAGGAGATGCAACATTCCCCCAATGAAAAATAGGGGTGCTACGAGTACACTGAGAGAGAACGCAATAAGTGTTTGGGGGCTTAGACTGTTCAATTGCCTCCCAGCATACATAAGAGAGATTACCAATAGACCCCGGCTGTCTTCAAGAAGGTGCTGGACATGCACCTAAAGTCAGTACCTGACCAGCCAGGCTGTGGTTCATATGCCAGTTTGTGTGTGGCCAGCAGTAACAGCCTTGTTGATCAGACCCTGATCCACCACGAGGCCTGGTCTCAGACAGAGACGTGGGGGCATTAACCCCGAAAACCCTCTCCAGGTATACTCCAGGAGTAATGGTCGTAAACTATAGCCATCAGTTTGAATGGGTTAAGGGTGATAATACTAATTAGCATCAGAAATCTTACGAAGATAGATTAGTAAAGTTGCATTTCTTAAAAATAAAATAAAGGATACATTCATTATATATTTGGTGTAAAAGTGGATAAAAGGCACAGATAAAATGGATATGTCTTAATGGGCACATGTATTTTTTTGCATACAACAATGGTAACATTAGTGGGATTTAACCTGTTATAACCTAATGAAGGCAAACATTAACTTTTTTCTATTGATATGAGATTATTGTGTGATGGATCCTTTTTATTTTCTCTATGGTTTGAATGCTCAAAAGACTTAATTTATCTTGTTTGGGTATATGCTTCATGTGAATTGTAATAAAAATTTGTGGATTAATACAATGTACAGTACTTCAGTTTTAACCAGGCAAATGGAAGTATTTCCAGAAAAATATAGTGTTAGTTCAGAAAATATATTCAGGGCACAGAGAGAGAGAGATTCTCACCTCATTATTGAAATGATCCCTAGTACCAATGATGGATATTAACAGGTATATTGTGACCTAGACAATATATATACTTGATTTGAGGCAGAGCCTCAGTAATTGAAGGATTACTTGATGTAAGTATTAAGCTTTTATAATTTATTTTTCTGTCAGATTTTTTTTTTCTTTTGGGGGGGGACTTCATTATTCTTTTCGAATTTCAGTGCTATGAAACAGGAACAATCAGAGACTAAAAATGCAGCGCTTCAAGAAACAGTTCATGAGATGGACAGTATATCTGCCAATTTAAAAAAGAAACTAGAGGAAGAGAAAGATGTCCTAAAGTCAAAAGATCATGATAATCAGAAGAAAGAATACGAGATAACCAGTTTGAAGAATAAACTTGTGAAGCTCCAAGAACACATTGTGAGTACATTCTTCTTAATCAGAGCTTGAGTATTGTAAAGTAATTTATCTAATGGTAACCTTTTTCAAATTCTTAATGTAGTTGAATGCTCATACAGTAATTTATGATATACAGTGGACCCCCGGCTTACGATATTAATTCATTCCAGAAGTACGTTCAGGTGCCATTACTGAAAGAATTTGTTCCCATAAGGAATATTGTGAATTAGATTAGTCCATTTCAGACCCCCAAACATACACGTACAAACGCACTTACATAAATACACTTACATAATTGGTCGCATTGGGAGCTGATCGTGAACCGGGGGTCCACTGTATTACTAATTTTTGTGCTAAATAAACTCTACTTTTCTAATTAAATAATTGAAGAATAAATTTCAGTATTGTAAGTGAAACATGATTATATATCACTAGACCATAATATTGAAATGAATGATATTTCAGCTTGATAATCATCCAAGGTAAACAGAAATTTCATACAAGTTTCATTTCCAGTATGTAGGGTAATTATAAATCTCTTCAACGTTGGGAGAACCCCCTCACAAAATTAGCTTTAGTACAATAATTGAAAATGGGTTAAAACTATAATTAAAAATTATACAGATGTGCAAACTAGTACAATACTTGATATTTGGCACAGTAGAAAAAACTGTAGTAATTATAAGATTATGGCAACTTAATTAAGGGCATGGATAGTACACACTACAGTGATTGATCCTCAGCTTTCTAAATCAGTAATGTGGATCTGGACTCTCATGCCATTCTCCACCAGTGGTTGCCATTATCATTGCTCTTTTTTCTGCTCTTCTGATCTTTTCAGGGAGGGCTACTTTAGTGCCAGTGAAGGGCTTTTATTCCAAGAAATTAGAGCTGTCTTCCTCTTCCTGATACAATCTGCATAATTTCCATTCCTTAAGCTCTGTATGACCATGGCTGTAGTTCTTCCCCTTGGATATAAACAGTTATTTTCTGCTCTTCTGACTTAATTATATCAGAGGTTGTGGGCATAAATTTGATATTAACCCTTTCAGGGTCCGTCCCGTAGATCTACGGCTTTACGTTCAGGGTCCAAACCGTAGATCTACGTCATGAGCTCAGCTCACTCTGATAAACTGTGAGTGGTACATTTGGGCCTAGATATGAGAGAATACATCTATGTGGTATGTGTGCACCACATAAAACAGATCCTGCAGCACACTGTGTATAATGAGAGAAAAAAAACTGAAATCATGATTTTTTGATTAAAACAGCGACTTTGCAGTGTTTTTTCGTATGTTTTTATAGTTGTATTTGCGATTTCTTGGTCTCATTTGATAGAATGGAAGACATATTACAGAAATAGAGATGATTTTGATTGGTTTTAGCACTGGAAATGGCTTGAAACTGAGCTCAAAGTAGAGGAAATGTTAAATTTTTGCCGATATTCAAGAGTAAACAAATGACCTTACACATCTAATACACACCAGCTGGTGGGTCTGATATACATTCACAAATATGGTGATGATATTTATACAATTATTACAGTATTGCATAACAGTAAATCTTCTATTTTTTGGTGTGAATAAAAATTCATTATGTGAATAAAAAATCAAAATGGAATTTATTTGTAAAGCCTCAAAACGTAAGTAATGAACAGAGGAAACGTTAGTTTAGTTCCAGGAATACCTACATTGTTTATTCTGGACCCCATTTTGAAATTGGAATATTTTGAACTTTGTGTTAAATTGGCCAAATTAACAATTTCCGATCACTTTATTTTGTAGTTGAAACAGTTGACTTGGCGATTTCTTGTGCTCAATCGATAGCAAAGAAGTAATACTAGTGAAATAGCTAAGAATTTGGTTGACTGGAATAATGTAATTGGCCTAAACTGGGAGTCAAAGTCGGCAAAATTGTCGATTCGTAAATATCGCTGACATCAAAATTCGCGAGAGCATAATTTCGTCAATTTTCCATCAAATTTCGTACTTTTTGTTTTATTACCTTCACAAAAAGATTCTCTACCATTTCATAAGAAAAAATAACAATTTTTTTTTGAAAATTCTTGGACACTGGGGCACCACTTCAGATTTGGGCCTTGGACCCTGAAGGGGTTAAGAGAATTCAGATTGTCCAGGAGTTGACATAGTAGAAATTAACCATTAAATATTTTTAAACAGACAAGTGTGTTATCGGTTGTTAAGTTTGCTTCATGGACTTAATGGAAGTGAAGCATACTCATTAGAAGGGATAGATACCTAAAAAAATAAAAGAAGGAAACTTAAAATTAGGAGGGGAAAACGACACTCATGAACTGAATCATCTTTTTAATGTAATAGAAAAAATATATAAATGTTAATTAAACAATGTAAAGAAAAGATTTAACAGCACAGTATTTACTTTGAATGCTGATGTTATGTGTAATGTGATTGCTATATTGCTAGGTTAGCATTGGCAGGTGGCTTACAACCACGCATTTTGTTCACTAAATCATGTAATCACCAATCGTGGGAATTGTAAAAAAGCTGTAAAAGGCTGTCTTTACTCACAATGGCAGATTGATACAACAATAAACAAACTTGCATGAGAATCTCTCTTTAACATGTAAAGAGTGTTATGTGGTAACAGCTGCCTTCATGATAATCATGTCTTCCAAAAAATAACGTGTAACTTCAAACCAGCAAACATGAATAATGTAAGTCCCCACAAGACAAATGATGTGCAGATACAACCAGCACACAAAGTAATACAAGTCTACCACAGAAAATAAGTAATTATAAGATAGGAGTGTGTCTGCATAATAACCACTTCCTACTGCCATCTGAACTCCCAGCAAGACAAAACATCAAGGTTGACATCCTGAGTAATGTGTATGTTTATACCAAGATTTAACCTAGAAAATTGGTACATCCTCATGTGTGTGGGTATGGGAGGGGAGGGGAGGTCAAGGCAGTGGGAGTGGCAGGAATGGAAGTGGCAGCAGACATGTCCTGCCTGGCTGGAAGTCACTGATCAAGTGCAACTAGCCCAGGTGGTGGTGGAGGACCAATTGCTCCTGACCCTGGGTGGTAGCAGAAGCAATGCACCTGCTCACAACAAACCTGGTTATCCAATCAGTGTACCTGGATATTAGTAAAACATATAGAGAAAATTTAGTAATTACAGTACTCTCAGGGTAGCTAGGATTCTCTGCATAATGATTTAGGAGGGATTTGTGCAACATTAGTCCCAAGCAAAAGTAAGAACCTGCATTTTGCTGTATAAAAGCTATGCACAGAATTTTTTTCACCTTAATTAAAACGTATGTCATCTTAGGGATCATATTCCAGAAAATTGCATTCTTTTCTATATTAAATGCAGTACAGTATTGCTGAGTACCATAATTTCCATCTTTAATAATGTTAGCAAACACTTTCATGAAGCCATCAATTACATTTTTCTTCAGGACTAGCAGTACCGTGTTTTATTGTGGGTTCTGATACTTTGTACAGTATTAGAGATTGTCGGAAAAATGTTGAAAATAATAAGTAACATTGGAAATAAATGGTATAAAATACCGACACAATGGAAATATAAACACATATGCAGTATAATGTGATCCTTTATTGACTACGTTTCGCCCACACAGTGGGCTTTTTCAAGTCACAAACAGATCTACCTGGGGTGGAAGGGACGCGAGTATTTATAGTCAGGTTCAGAATGCTGAGGTCATGTGGAGAATGCTGCATCTGATGATGTACCGAGTGGGGTTATAGAGTCTAAAATCTTGGGTAGCTTGGAAAGGAGATTGGATAAGTTTGTGAGCAGACCTTCTACAGTGTTCTTCCATTCCTGTGTTCTTATGTGGTATAGCGATGAAGAAGTTTCTTGGCAAGTGGTTCAGCTATGTTATAGAAGCCACTATTCTGGTTGAAGTTGTCGGATATAGAAATAAGTGATGATTCCAGGATTCTTCGGTATTGAGTGTTGTCTTCTGTGGCGATAAGTCTCGAGTTTCTGTAGTTTATCAAGTGGTTGTATGAATTACGGTGTTGTACACAGGCATTCCTTGTGTCGTCAGACCTGCTTGCGTACTGGTGTTCTGAAATACGTGTTTGGAGGTCCCTTGATGTTTCGCCCACGTATAATTTGTTGCAGTCATTACAAGGGATTATGTATACCCCTGCAGAGGGTGAAAGCTTGTCCTGTCTATCACTGGTAATGTCCTTGATGGTCATGGTTGTGGAGGTAGATACTTGGAATGAGGTATTGGAAAAGATGTTGGAAACATGTTTGGCAATGGAGTTGGTGGGGAGGACTATGTATCTCTTCTTGGCAGTGTCTTCTCTGGGTGTGTTGAAGATGTTTAATGCCCGTCGTCTGCAGTCTCTGATGAAGTGACGAGGATAGTGGAGTTTAGAAAATACTTGTTCAATTATCATGCATTCTTCTTCAAGAAACTCATTGCTGCAGATTCTGAGTGCACGCAGGAAGAAGTCTATAATTACACCACGTTTAGTTTTGGTGTCGTGGTGAGAGTAGAAGTGGAGAAGATCGTTTTGGTTGGTGGGTTTTCGATAGACTTTAAAACGTATTTCAGAACACCAGTACGCAAGCAGGTCTGACGACACAAGGAATGCCTGTGTACAACACCGTAATTCACACAACCACTTGATAAACTACAGAAACTCGAGACTTATCGCCACAGAAGACAACACTCAATACCGAAGAATCCTGGAATCATCACTTATTTCTATATCCGACAACTTCAACCAGAATAGTGGCTTCTATAACATAGCTGAACCACTTGCCAAGAAACTTCTTCATCGCTATCCCACATAAGAACACAGGAATGGAAGAACACTGTAGAAGGTCAGCTCACAAACTTATCCAATCTCCTTTCTAAGCTACCCAAGATTTTAGACTCTATAACCCCACTCGGTACATCATCAGATGCAGCATTCTCCACCTGACTTCAGCATTCTGAACCTAACTATAAATACTCGCATCCCTTCCACCCCAGGTAGATCTGTTTGTGACTTGAAAAAGCCCACTGTGTGGGCGAAACGTAGTCAATAAAGGATCACATTATACTGCATATGTGTTTATATTTCCATAATAAGTAACATTCTGTGAAACATTTCAGGACACCATAACTCAGCAACTAGAAGATCATGAAGCAGAGCTTTCCAAAGCCAAGGAAACTAACATCCACCTAGCCACTGAACGGGATGATGCTGTTGAAGCCATTGCTGAAAAGGATGCTCTCATTAATACACTGAAACGGCAGCTGGAACAGGTGTGTTGTTATTGCTTTGCAGACCTGCCATTAATTTTCTACTGCCATTATGTACTATAATCATGCTTCAGTGTTAGGTATCTTCTGAAGGGATACTGTGCACAATAAGTTTTTTCACAAGTGACCTATACTTAAACTTCACGAGAAAGTCTCATACGTCTTACCTATTACTGTTTACTTCAAGGTCTACTCGCTAGGTCAGAACCTCGCTTTACACCAGCCCATTTTCTAAGTGTTGGGCACACACTGGCTGTGCCTGATTCCTAGGGCAACTTGGCAAAGATAATGTTATTGTACAATAAAGCAGTTTATTGTCACACTTAGAAAATTTTGTCTGAATGTCACTTTCAGTAAGGTAGATTTTCTTATTGACTGGGGTATAGTATACCCCAGTATACCTGGGGTATAGTATACCCCAGTTGTTGTATGAGAGTATACATGTATACAGATGTTATTTTGTGTAATTTCTAAACAATGCCTTTGAAACCACACACATTTCTCCTTGCATGCCAACTTTCTGTTTTGTTGAGATACAGTATGCTGAATAAAGTTATGTGGCAGGTCTTGTAAGTGAATGAAACTAGTTGTTTCCTTCCATTTTAATTTAAAGAGTTAGATATAGCGAATTCCCTGCCATGAGCCACCAGATATTCCACCATCACCGCTCTCTGCCAACCAAACTTAATTACATTTCTCCACAAAGCCACAACATAAAGATTGCATTTGTTAAATGTGTGGATGACTGTTGGGTAAGTATTAATCAACTTACACAGTATTATTTCAGTTTTTGTAAGAACAGAACATTAAATTTAGGGAGGAAGTATGGAGGAAGTGAATAACATCATTTGCATATTGTGGAGTGGATGCGTTGGTGGATAGATGTAAGGAAGCGAAGTGACTCGTAGAAGATAAGAGAAGGCAAGTTGTGTTGTGAGGCATTTGTATAAAGAAATAAGTTTATCAGTGGGGACAAAAAAGAGAATGAAGTGTAATTGTTCTGACGCTCATGTAGGTAGTGATGTTATGTTTGAGATCGTGTGGTATGATTACTGTGTTACATAGAGACTGCGGAGTGAAGAAATTAAAAGATTATGATGGTATGAGAGATTGTTTTTATTATTAGCACACTGGCCGATTCCCACCAAGGCATGGTGGCCTGAAAAAGAAAAACTTTCACCATCATTCACTCCATCACTGTCTTGCCAGAAGGGTGCTTTACACTACAGTTTTTAAACTGCAACATTAACACCCCTCCTTCAGAGTGCAGGCACTGCACTTCCCATCTCCAGGACTCAAGTCCGGCCTGCCGATTTCCCTGAATCCCTTCATAAATGTTACTTTGCTCACACTCCAACAGCACTTCAAGTATTAAAAATCATTTGTCTCCATTCACTCCTATCAAACACGCTCATGCATGCCCGCTAGAAGTCAAAACCCCTCGCACACAAAACCTCCTTTATCCCCTCCCTCCAACCTTTCCTAGGCCGACCCCTACCCCGCCTTCCTTCCACTACAGACTGATACACTCTTGAAGTCATTCTGTTTCGCTCCATGAGAGATATAGTCTTTAAATGGTGATGTTGAAGGCTTCAATTAATGGAATTGGCACTTGTGTCTAATAGCATCACAATAGCAGAGTTTGATTTTTAGGTTGATTTTCCTCTGGTTTTGGGTCACGTTAGATCTCCACATATCTTGCTGCTGTTGTTGGCATTGCTATGCCATTTATGTAGAATTAAAAACCTTTGTAGACACATTTCTGTTTACAGTGGACCCCCGGTATTCGATAAATCCGGTTTTCGATGCATTTTAACGCAAAAAAATTTCCTCGGTATTCGATTGAAAACCCGGTATTTGATACGATTCATACGAGACCTGTCCACGTGTAGCCTGAACTGCCCCGTGTGTGCTAGTGTTTACAAGCCAGCCAGTGTGTGCGCATCTAAGAATACATTCGGTACATTCCATATTATCCATATTATCACTGTGTTTGGTGCTTGTTTCTGCAAAATAAGTCACCATGGGCCCCAAGAAAGCTTCTAGTGCCAGCCCTTCGAGAAAAAAGTCGCTAATGACTTATGAAATGAAGAAAGAGATAATTGCAAAGTACGAAAGTGGAGTGCGTGTGTTGGAGCTGGTCAGGTTGTATAATAAACCCCAATCAACCATCTCTACTATAGTGACCAGGAAAACGACAATCAAGGAAGCTGTTCTTGCAAAAGGTGCAACTGTGATTACGAAACAGCGACCACAAGTGTTAGAAAATGTTGAGAGATTGTTATTGGTGTGGATAAATGAAAAACAGATAGCAGGAGATAGCATCTCTCAAGCGATCATTTGTGAAAAGGCTAGGCAGTTGCATGACGATTTGGTAAAGAAATTGCCTGCAACTAGTGGTGATGTGAGTGAATTTAAGGCAGCAAAGGTTGGTTTGAAAGATTTAAGAATCGTAGTGGCATACATAGTGTGATTAGGCATGGTGAGGCTGCCAGTTATGTTGTGCGACAGAAGTCCAGTGACTCTCAAGCTGGTCCTAGTGGCATTAAAAGAAGAAGGGAAGTAACCCCAGAAAAGGACTTGCTACCTCAAGTTCTAATGGAAGGGGATTCCCCTTCTAAACACTAACACCTCTCCCCTCCTCCCATCCCATCAATCATCACCAGATCTTCATTAAAGGTAAGTGTCAATTATTTTATTGTTATTGTAATTATTCTATTGCATTAAACTTAATATTTCATGTAGTAAAACTTTTTTTTTCATACTTTTGGGTGTCTTGCACAGATTAATTTGATTTCCATTATTTCTTATGAGGAAAATTGATTCGGTTTTCAATATTATCGGTATTTGATGAGCTCTCAGGAACGAATTAATATCGAATACCGGGGGTCCACTGTATATGCTAGAATTCAACGTAAATATGAGAGAAGATGGAGTGCTAACACTATAGTGGCAGGTGGCAGAAACAACCAGCACTTCACAGGAATTTAAATTCAGAAGAAATCTGTGGTTTCACATCCAGCTAAGCAGGAATTTTGTTGAAAAGGTGATGGTTTAGAAAATACTATAAGACTTTCATACTGGAAAATGGTGATTATCTGCATCGTATAGTATGTTGTGTTCAGAGTAGTTATACACAGTACAGTAGTCCCTACAAATTCACAGGGGTTACATTCAGTGGCAGACCTACATTTTTGGGGCCCTAAAGCTTGAACTGTAGACCCAAAATTTTTAAGCAGTATGGACTAAAGTTGCTTCTGGGGCCTCTCCGGGATTAAAGGCCTTGAAACTTAAGTTTCATTAGTTTCATATTAGATCTGCCTTTGGTTACATTCCTAGAGATCCGACGAAACTAAAAGCTGTATGTAAGATTTGGATTCATTTTGTATTTCAGAGACTATATCTGCATAATACATTAATCACTAATCTGGATAATATTGACACTCATGAGAAATAATTACTGTAATATAAGAGAGATTGGAGTGGGGGAAAGCTGTTGATCCAGAAAAACATTTGATAACTGAATCTATTCACTGGTTACTCTTCAGTAAAAACATTGGAAAATCAAAATTCACAAATGCAATGTCTCACAATTTTTTAGGGATGACTGTATCATACATTTGTGCTTCTGATAAGTAGAATAAATTTTTGACAACATCTACAGTCATAAGCAATTAATATCTTCTTTGTCTAATACAGTGTATGTGTATAGTTATGTATTGTGATTTTGGGTGGTGCTGTACAGTGGAACCTTGGCACTTGAACTTAATTCGTTCCAGAAGACTGTTCGAGTGCCGAGCTGTCCAAGTACCGAATTAATTTTTCCCAACCAATTTTCATTTTGGTTGGCTGTCATCACTAACCCTCTTAGGCCCCAGGGGGACTTAAACAAATAATATAAAAAACACCAAAAATTTTGAAGAAACGTGAAATAGTTTACAGCAAAGTTCTGATAGGTCATGTTTGTTTGGCCGAGTGCCAAGCAAATGGTCGACTAGCGAGCAATTTGTTTACTGAACAAAGCGTTCGAATACTGAGCTGTTTGAGTACCGAGATTCCACTGTATAGTGCTGTGTAGTGATGTGCATTGATGGTGTGTAGTGGTATGTAGTGATACTGTGTAGCTATGTGTAATATGTATTGATTTTGTGTAGTCAACTATAGTGATGTTAGGTAGTGATGCCGATGTGTAGTTATGTAGGTATGTGATGTGTAGTGATGTTATGTTTACCTGGAGAGGGTTTCAGGGGTCAACGCCCCCGCGGCCTGGTCTGAGACCAGGCCTCATGGTGGATCAAGGTCTGATCAACCAGGCTGTTACTGCTGGCCATGTGTAGTAATAATGTGTGATGATATTGTGTAGTGATGTTGATGTGTAGTGATAGTGTGTAGTGATTATGTTGTGTAGTGATGTTAATGTGTAATGATTGTGTTTTGAAGTGATATTCATGTGTATTGATGTGTAGTGATGTTGGGTAGTGATATTATGTAGTGAGGTATACTGACGTTAATGTATAGTGATGTTGTGTAATGATGTGTTGTGATATATAGTGATGTGATGTGTTATATGAAGTGATGTGTTGGTATATGAAGTGATGTGTAGTGATGCTGGTCTGTAGTGATACAGTCGACCCTCAACTAACGGCGGCATTAAGTAACGGCAATTTCGTCTAACGGCGCTTTTTGCCGTAGAAAAAATGCCTTAACCAAAGGCGAAAAACTTAACCAACGACATTCGTCTGGAACATGTCCCCAGCCACTCCAAGACTCAGTGTGCCATTGTTTACAAGCTGTTGCGGTTGGTTTCCACATGTGCCTCCCATACATTTTGGATTATTCCACTGTTTCTAGTGCTTGTAACCATTAAATAAGCCACCATGGTAGAATTCAAGAAAAAGTTTGTAGAAAAATACGAAAGTGGTGGTGGTAGAGGGTGGTCCAGTGATTCTCAAGCTGGTCCTAGTGGCATTAAAAAACCAAGAAGGGAGGTAACCCCACCAAAA